CAGAATGTGAAGTAGTTCATGTTGTAGTCACACTTTAAAAACAATAAAGTTGTTCAGGTAGCTGAAGGAAGAACCCGAGAAACTTCGATACAGATGCAAATCATTTTCTTTAAATATGCAAACCAGGGAACAGACTTTGGTTTTTGCCCCTCACCGATTCAGCAGTATTTACCTTCTTCAGTCACAATGCCAGCTTTGTTCCAAGCATTGTCAGGGACTACAGAGACACACATTTTCCTCGTTTCAAATTTGGCTTAATGCACCTTTTACCAGAGGATATAAATCATTTTGACTCATTAAGTCCATCTGGGGCTTACATAATGCGCATATGTGTAGGTGTTTGTGAGTTTGAATGGAGCAGCCGAACTCAATTAGCAAGTTTGCCAAAGAAAAGACCCACTGCAGACTGAATCAGGCTCTCACTCAGCTTCTCCAAAAATATATTATCTACACAAGATAGAAAATGTAAATATTTATTTATTTTGCCTCCAGTGAAGTGGAACCTGCAGAGAGAGGACGATTAAAATGAGGTAACCATGAAATGAGTCTAGATCTAACCAACCTCTTGGGGAGGAAAGGCAAGTGCTTACAGATCGGTGTGAATCTGTTTCTCTTTAAACATTTAATGTTTTTTAACTAGCAACTTAACAGACTTGGTGTGAGAGTTTATGTGCTAAATTAGCCAGCATTTTTCGTAAATGAGCCATGATCCATTTTATTTACTGAGAAAGCCAATGTTTTATTTGTTTTGTTTTGTCTTTTTCTTTCAAGAAAAATCTGGTATTAATTATTTTTTAAAAATCACCAAATATCATCATATGCTACGTCAATGAGTGGAATTACATGATCAATCCTCGTCTTGGAAGGATTTTGCACCAGGAAGTGATGTAACACTATTACCTTTACCTCCCATACAGCAGAAGCTCTGCTTCCTGCCGTCACCAGTTTGTCCAGAAGGTTCCCATTTCACACCAGCATTCATACTTTGGCACCATAAGAGTTATGATTATCATCAACTTAATACATCTAAAACTCCTGGATAGCAGGAATACAGTCAATGAGCACCAATAGCAGACATTAGTGAAACAGCAGCAAAAACTTTAAGGGAAATGACAGTTTTAATAGAAATACTACAGAACTTACCATTTCTCCTACATTTGTAGGAATAATTCTACTATTGACAGTGCAAGCTGCCACAGCGCTGAGTTGCATTGAACTGCCTTAAGATTTTGCCCAGTCATAGTAAGGATCCACATGTGCAACAAGGTAAAGAAACTGAATTTCCCAAGCAGGATTTTGCCAAAATAAAGTTTAGAAAAGCGAGCTAAATGTGTTTGTTTATAGTGAACATCCAGGTCACGTGATTCACCTGAGATCATAGAGTCCTAAATGCTGACAGTAAAAAGTCAAAACACTGACCAAAGTCCATGAAAAGTAAATGTTCCTACTGCAAACTGTATAGCATTGCATGTTTGAGCCACAACAGTGATCCAAAGTGAAGCATCTGATCAGAATAATGACCATCTGCAGAACTTAAACCAGTATGAGTCCATCCATAATCCTTTCAGATGTGTTTTTTTTGTCTGACTTATTTCCATATATTTCTGCCAATCACAAATGCTGTATTCTGCTTCTGTGTCATCAGTTGCATCACATGCTGTCACAACATCATAAAGATCACACACAAATACACTTACATACATTAAATACTCTATAAAGTGCATAAGCAAAGTGGAAGACTTCATTTTGTGTTTGGTCTCAAATCTGGCATGCCATGTAAACAGAGTAGCTAAATTTAGGGGTGCTAGCCCTAAAGCACCAATCATAAACATTTGGTCTACTAACACTAAAGCACTACACCAACAAAGTGTTTAATGTTAACTTCAATTCTAATTATATCTGTCCTTGAAAAGCTACAGCAATTTAATTTTGACTTTATAATTTATGTTTTAAAACCCCTTTAGCTATTGTTGTGTTTAAATTATTTTTTTAATTTTGTTTCTGTATGTATATTTCTTGCTGAAACTTATTGGGTGTAAACAGTCATTATCTACTTCAAAATAAGAGCAGGAATATACATGTCTTCCTACTTGAAGAATTTAAAAATTACAAAGCAATAGTAAATCAGTGCTCTAGAATTTATCCAGCAAAAACAAACTTAGGGGAAGCTAAGTTTGCTAAACATCTAAAAAGCTAGCAAAAGCGCTAAGTGAAAAATTAGCTCCTCTGTTAGCGGACAGGGAGTTGTTCCCCCACGTCTCAGCCAGGGAGTGAAATTGCCTTCATGTCGTATTTTCCTGCCTATGAGTTTGACCAGGAGCAGTTTTTGTTGCTTTGGGCAGTTGGATTATTTTAATCTCCACTAAAGTAAAAGGTATAGAAACTAAAACAGCTTTAGCCATAGTAACAAAAGGATAAGATTTTTTTTTTTTTTTTCCTAAATTACTGAGCCAGTTGAGTGCCTTCTGGAAAAAAAAAATGGATATTTGAATTTTTTTTTGCTAGGCAATTTTTACATTAACATTCACTGAGATGTTCTGAGTATTAATTACTAGTCCTGGGAGCTATAGCTTTGCTTATGTGGTACAAGAAAGTAATTATTTTATTTTTTGGCTGTGTACAGTGCAGTTCAAAAGTATTTATACCCTTCCATATGTCTGAACTTTTATCACTCAACTTCACTCAAGTCTCCTTTGTTTGATATTAAAACTGATCTCAAAAATGAAAGAAATCTGCCAGGGAGTAAATACTTACTAGCACTGTGCAAAAGGCACACATAAAGTCCTTCCAATAAATAGATGTTGACTGATCTCATATTTAGCTAACTTATTGCCATGTAAATACAAGTTTTGAGTGTTATCCAACCAGTGCAATGCAACATCTAAGTGGATGACAAGGGCAGAAGTAAAAATGCAAGAAAAAGCAGCAAATATTTAAAGAATCAAGCAGTAATTTGTAAAGACCAGTGTTGAAAACAGGAATTTCAAGCTCGCTGGAAGCAAAATACATTTATGCACGTCGGGTGGAGAAAACTTCTGTGCTGTACTAAACTAGAAATATTCAGAGTTTTAGTAGTTTTAGCAGTAGCAGTAAATGTTCTGGCAACCAAGATTTTAAGAGTCAAAGGGGAAACAGGCACAGCAAAGGCTGGAACTGAAAGAAGAGGCATCAGTACAGGTTTACAGCAGAAGGCTTCTACTGTGTGATATTGTATATCTTTTTACACAGCGTTCTATCCATTAGCTTTGGAGTGTATACTACCCTGTCAAGCAGTCCTAAAGTTTACAAAGAGACTAAAAAGGGTCATTTATCCAGAACACTGAAAGGTAATCTAAGCAACACAAGTAAATTTAATTTGGGTTAGTGATGTTTTTTCAGCCTGTTGAGCTGCTTATATGAGCTCTGCCTTATTTGGCATGAAAGAAAAACTTGTATATCTGAAGCCCTTAGGAAGTGAGTAAATGACCACAAACAATGTATTACAAAAGTATTTACACCAGCTGAACTTTTTCCACATGTTGTCAAGTTACAACTTTTTATTAGGATTTTAAGTGATCCAGGAAACTGTAGGACTTTAGTTGTGATCTAGTCACTTGTTTTCATGTTTCTGGTGTCTTTGACACTGATAGTTTTTGAAATCAGGTCTCAGAGAGGAACATTTTTGTAACACCCCCTGTGGAGGTGTGAGATACTATGCATGCACTAGCCTGGCCATTGCCTTCCTGTGCTATTCCGCTCAAAAAAATGTTCAACAGTCAGAACTGTAGAATTCACAACAACAACAAAAAAACCCCAACAAAAACCTGGTTACTGTTGAAAGTGCATGCAAATTTGATGACATGCTAACATTACAGTGCCATGTAGTGGCTTGGAATGACAACTACAACAGATCAATGTGTTTGCAATCTTGTCCAAGATTCCCCAATAAACATCCTGTCTCCTGTAAGCATAGGATGATGCATAAAACCAAAAAAGTCTGACAAACATTTTTGATTCTCACAGCGCCCCCTACTGATAGGTTGGTGGTCAGTACCAGTTTTGCACATGTAAACTAAATAATTTGCCTTTTCTTCTTTGAAAAGTAGCTCAAAATCAGTCAGACTGAATAAAGGGAGCAGAAGTTTTCCAGTCATTCCACAGATTATCAGTTGAATTTAGGTCTGGAATTTGACTGGGCCACATGAACACATGAGAATGGATCGATATAAACTGATTCCTAGCCAGTTTATAAGAACTGGCTAGGAACTGGCTAGGAAGGCACTAACAGCCACATGTGTCTGTTAGTGCCAGACACATGTCTGGCACTAACAATTTTAACTAAAACTCTATTTTTCAAGTTCTGCTAAAGAAAATCATCCTACTGCATGTTTCACCCACCACCATGTTTCACCATTGAGATGTTGTGTTCAGGGTGATGTGCTTTGCTATGTTTGTATTCAGGGCAGAAAATATAATTTTGATCTCATCTGATCAGAGCAAAGTCCTTCAACATGTTTTGCTGTGTCCTTGTGCTGGGAAATGAGCCAAGTCTAGTCTCAAGGTGGCCCAGCATCATCTCACATAAAGTATTAGCTAACATATTACTGAATAAATAACAGGAAAAGGAAAGAACTCCAACATTACATAAACCAAACTGTATGAGAAGCAGCGCTGTGAACAGTCCATAAAAGTGGAATGTGTTTGCACACACTGCCACATGTAAGTGAAGCATTGTAAAGTGCTGTACATGTCTCATCTGGAGCCTTTGAGGTTAGAATGAAGACATTTAAATGATTTATGATGTAAACCAGTTTTCACACACACTCCCTGCTACTCCTCCTTCCACTCACAACACTTTCTGAGGCCTGCCTCTCTCCGTCCTGAGCCAATTGTAATGCTCCAAGCAGGCGAGCCTTCACAGGGCCAATCCCCTGATTTGACGGGTTCCCAGCTTGTGATCATGTGACGGTTAAGTGATCCGCCAGGCCTTCAAAGTGAGTGAGTGCATGAATGTGTGTGTGTGTGTGTGTGTGTGTGTGTGTAAGAGAGAGAGGGAGGGAAAGAGAGAGAGGCATAAGGATATGCAAAGAGCAAAGCTCGTGTGTTGGAGTTGCACTGCCAATGCGTGCTGTTACGCACAGAAACCTTCGTCCAGAACTGGAGCGCACGGTGCGAAGGAGCTGGGTTTAGTTTCCTTGCATTGACAGGTGAGCTCATTTTGCTTTTAACCAAAAATGCATGACCTCTTATGCACTGATGAGTAAATAGAAACTTGTGTCATCTAGAAACTTGAGCAACATGAGCTTCTGACTGTTCTCTTTCTGGTGAAAAAACACCAAACTTTGAACAAATGTCTTGGTTTTTCATTAAACCAAAGCCTAACTGAGATTGTGGTTGGACTTGCAGTCTCAGGCTGCAGGGTTGAACATGCCACGAATGCTGAGGAGAAACCCTTCAGGTCAAACCCCACGGTGCTGTTAAAGAGAGCATCCTGCTGTCAAAGCCCTTTTTTGATGTTCCACACCCGTAGAGTTACTGCAGGACAAATGACTTCAGTCTTGGCCAAAATGAGGTGTACTCTCTCCTCGCAAACTTTTTCCCCTTCCATGAGGCATAGCCACAGCTGCAGACCCCCCTCCTCTGGCGATCCATGTAATTTGATGTTACCCCCAAATGTAACCGCCTTCATAAGATCTCAAATTACTGAATGTGAAATTGAATACAAATTTATTTGAGTTAAGCACTGTGTAGTTGTGTCAGCCACTTGAATTAAACATCAGATTTTACTTGAGACATGTGGAGCCTTTCATAGAAACTGTTTTTCTTCTTTATAGGAAACAGCCTTACAGAAAGAGGGGAAGGCGGAGGCAGTCCTTTCAGTTCTCAGACACTATTGAGGATTTCATATGGATTTCAGACTCATGTTAAACATCAGGGCCACTCATTTCCTCCAAAGCCATCTGATGTCTAGTATTTTTAATCCGTGTAAATGTAGTGGCAGAGCATTGTTCCTGAGCTGCTGGGTGCATAAAAATAGAGAATAAATCCTTTGCTCATGGATCATCCTACTGAAACTCTGCGTATTCTAAACTGATTTGACATATGAATGCACTGTGTGGTCAGTCTGCAGGAAGTTAGAAGATTATTTTCCTCATTCTAATCTCACAGTGCAAGAAAATCTCTATTGCTCAGATTAGCATGAATTAAGGACCATGAAGGGAGACAAATAGAAACACTGTTCAGTGACCATGTGGCTTTAATCTTAAAAGTGGTGAGAAAAGAGGAACGCCTGTCTCCACATGGTCAGCTTGAAGCCTGGACCAGCAGCTGCAAATTCGACACACACATTCATACACATGCACACACACACACACATTCCAGTTCCCTAACATGTGGTTGCCTTCCCTTTTGAAGTGCCATAAGTTTGCAGAGCTTCCAAACAAGCAGCAGGTATTTGACAGGGACCAGAAAGGTATAATAATTTTTAGTCTGGTGGTTTGCTGTGTAATGAAGGACCCCAAAGGGACTACTGTGTACCTCACAGTATGACCACACTCAGTGTAGCTGTGGTGTGATTAGAAATGCCTAACTCAAACTGATATATCCAAAGTCTGTTTGTTGGTCAAACTGGGAACTCCGTTGTACTCAACCATGGTGCAACTTGCATGTTAGGCCATATCCAGGCCTCTTTGGAATCACTTTTGAGAAGTCTAGTAAAACTTGTGTCATTGTTAAATATTTGTTTCTTTTACAGAAAAAAGAAAAGAATCTTCATCAACAGTTTGATCGTCAGTGCCCAGCAAAGTCAGCAGTCATCAATCCCCACAGGAATGGTTGATCACTTGCCACTTGGTGAGGAGACCTTCCTGTATTATTCCTGCTCTCCAGGGTCCGACTACGGGTGCGCGTCTCGCTACACCAAGGGTGGTGTTTCGCAGGGCATCATGGTGACTGATGCGGGCACCTATCAGCACCACCCTTACCAAGGGCTGACGCTCTCCTCCTCGCCTTGCCTCTCTGAAGATGACCTCAGCGACTCCTCCAGCCCGCGCTCCTCCCTCTGCTCCAGCCCCGAGTCCACATCTTCAGCATCACGGAGCGTTTTTTGCTCTAGCTATGAAAGCAGGAGCAACAGGAGCAGTGGGTGCTCCAACTCATCAGGAGGAGAGAATCAAGAGAGTCTTCTGGACCTCCTTCTCTCACAGGCCTCCCTTACAACCTCATTCAGCTCCAGTAGCGGCAACATTTCTGTTTCCTCCTCTCTTTCCTTCTCTTCTCCAGCTTCCTCTACCTCCTCATCTCCATCATCCCCTTTTTTGCCCATGGGCCTAGCATGGGAGCCCAAGAGGGAGCAGCGAATTGGAGTCCAGCAGCACTTGACCAAAGAGGAGTGCTTTGAGTTCCCAGTTTTCCTTGATGAGCTGCAGGATCCTGAAGCACTCCTCTTTCAGCCAACTCTAGAGGAGATTGAAGAGTTCCTTGAAGAGAACATGATGGTAGCAATGGAGAAGGAAGAGAATGGGAGTGATGAGGAAATGTCACCTCCCATGTCTATGTCAGATGATACGGAATCAGAGGGTTCAATGACACTCGCAGCAAAACCTGAATCACAATCCCAGAACTCAGATCAAACTGTCCCTGTGGCCTCCAAGTCAGAGGCTAAGTATGCTGCATGTGCATCAGATACAGGCAGCTCACCAGTGACAGAAGGCAATAGCTGTGTAACTACTTCCACTGACAGTTGTGTTGATGGGATCAAGAAGGAAGACTGTGGATCACTAACACCTTTGACACCAGAAAGTGCTACCATTGCCTCAAGTGTGCCCGTCATCCTCCAAATCCAGCCCATACAGGTCAAACAAGAACCAAATTCCAGTGCTGCATCAGACACCATCCCGGATCAGTCCCATAAAACCCATTCCCAACCAACTGAATCCCCATCGTCTATCAAAATTGCCCAGCTCCTGGTCAACATCCAGGGGCAGACATTTGCTTTAGTGCCTCAGTTGCTTTCCCCTGCAACAACTAACTCAGGCAAAACAGGGAGCACTGCTCCATCCAAATTCGTCCGAATTGCACCAGTGCCCATTGCAGCCAAACCCAATGGGCTTGCGGAAGCGACGTTAGGCCTAGGAGGTTCGGCAGCGGGTGTCCTTACCGGAAGTCAGCGGTACCAGAAGAGCACAGTGGCAGACCTCATCAAAATGCACAAGTGCACATTTCCTGGCTGTAATAAGATGTACACCAAGAGTAGCCACCTCAAAGCACATCTGAGAAGACACACAGGGGAGAAACCCTTTGCATGCACGTGGCCTGGCTGTGGATGGAGGTGAGCAAACCAATGTTGATATATTAGTGCGAAAGTGACTCATGTGCCAACAAATACCTATCATTAAACTGAAAGATGGACAGGAAGTGGGCAGTGTTATGCTACATAAGATAGCATAGCTATGAATTCTGCCAAGATTGACATAAATACTAATTGTGCCAAGCTATGCTACGTTTGCCAGCTACTTTGTGTGGGGTGGAGTCACACTGGCCATTTCTGCTTAGAACTAGACCAAACATAGTCCTGCAGTTTCAAAGTAGGCAACAATTTTACCTCCATCATCACTTTTTCCATACCTTTACACTTCCCCACATCTGATATTACAGTAAACAAGGTTATCAACTTCCACTCCATATGGGACCATATAAATTAATTCACAGACATCTGTTGATAAAATGCTACTCAATCTGGAGAGTTTATTACATGTTATAAACAAGCATATCAACAGTGCCTTGTTTTGCTGAGTAATTATAGATAAGAAGTGACAAACTGTTTTCCTGTCCTGTTGTCCTTTTTATGTAAGCTCTATTGCACTGGCAGATTGCCATACCTTTCAAAGAAACACTCCAAGGCAGAGTGTTTCTGCATATTCTCTTATGCAGAAAAATAGTTTGAGGAAAAAATGGTTGGATTTCAATCAGGAGGCTTATTTTGTATGGGAGCTCCACTATGGACTGTTCATTTTCAATTACAGTTTGTTCTTTTCTGCAAGCTGTGTCTCTCCCCTGCTATCAGTGTGTTTTTGAACCATGGCTAAGTTGCAGATTAGATAGGGCACCTTTTGAAGTCGTCCATAGGCAGACTTTGTCCCCTGTTAGTTATTGCACCTGTTTGCTCACCATCCACAACCACGGAATACACATTCATGCATCAAAAAGACTCTGAAGTTTTATTATATTTTGTGCCTGACATGATCACACATCCATGACACATCCACAAAGTCCGCTTTGCCAGGTTCCAGTTAGCATACTACGCTGGAATCAAAGCCTCCATCTGAGTAGAAACATCCTATTTGTACTTTAACTCCAGGTTAATTCCGCCAACTTCTGAACTCCCGGTCAATAAATCCACCCTCTAAAGGTACATTAAGGGCTCAAGGCTATACACAGAGTCTTGTGTATCTGCATTGCTACTGACAGGGTCAAGATAGGGTAAGAGTCAGGATCTTGGTCCAATCATAATAACAAGGACTCATGTTTAGGATTAACATAATATTTGGGAATAGAGTAAAAAGTAACTCTAATGATTCTATACCACTGTTTATGTTTGGTTTAGTTAAAGAAGCTCCAGTGTCATCAGTGAATATGGATATTGGTTCCTTTAAACATTGAACATGGTTTAAAAAAACTGCACTGTACTTACACTTTCCAGATGTCACAATTCACAATTTATGTTATTTTTTATTGTCCTGTGTCTAAGAGGTTAGAAAATATAGTTATCTAGGTCTATCGGCTGTCTAGAGATAAGAGATTAATTAAAAGACAAATGTACAGTGAGGAAATATCATACAGTTGGAGCACTTTTCTCCAGAGAATGGCTTTGAGATTGAACAATTCAAATCTGAAGTTTTTATTTATGAGGTTTGGACTGACTGGAGGAAAATGTTCTGACTTCCTGATTATCTTGTACCAATATTCTTTAGATTAAGAGGAAAGGCTCTGTACTCAGTGAATGGCTGACTTATGTATCAGGAGTATGTACATTTGACAATATACATCAGTTGAGCACAAACCAACAGCATTATCCCTGATTGTATGTGACAGAGCTCACTGCTTGGCTCAGTAAAAAACAAGGCATTAACCTCCAGCAAATAGACTGCATTAAGCACTGTAATCTTTTCATAAATCCAAGCACACAATGTCTGATTATGAGTAATGTGATCACATCTGTCACCATTCACTCACTCTGTCCTTCCACCATTGATGAAACATTCCCGGAAAGAGAAAGGCTTAGTTTGTGATACAGGATTTCTTTGGGATATATTTGCATGTGTGAACTTTTTCTTAGTTGATATGTCAAACAAATTACACATTTATTGGAGATGAAATGTTCCATATCTTGGTTTTTTAGAGTTAGCATGGCCTGAATTAACATCATTTTGTCTAGTTAGGTAAAAAAAAGAAAATCCACTGACTGTAGTTTAGTTTTTGCATAGCAACAGGATCATTCAAAAGAAAAGGCAGGAATCATTTCTAAATAATTTCTCTTGGTCAGTGTTTTACTGAAGAATGAAGAAAAAAAACAGGAAAAGTGCTGCTGTTGTGTTTGTATGTACCAGCTAAACACATGAGTCATCTCATTCATCCAGATTTAACCCATCCTGTTTTGTTGTTGCAGTGTGTGTATCAGAACCCGCCTTAGTTGTGTGAGATTTATGACAGGCACAGCTTGAACATCATGTTACCATAGCATATGGTTATGAATTTTAATTCTTAACCATATGCTATCCAATGCAGATATTAGACTGTCCACCTAGGAAGAAAAATCAATGTAAAACAAGGATACATTTTAAGTGCTCTCTTATATTGTGGGGAAAAATAGCAAAAGTATAGGGTACTGGAAACATAGGCTTTTAAATCAAAATGCTACCATGAACTACACACTATACATGGTTTAAAAAAATCATTTCAGAAGGGTACTGTTTTTGTCTAGAGAAAAAAGGACATCTCCATTTGTGATTGTCCCTGCCTGTCTGTTTAAATGGACAACCATGTCTCAGTATGTTTGCAGTTGTGTCATACTCTTTCCACTGTCAGTTGATGGATTATCTATTGTGCAACTTTTCTTTGACATAGAAAGCCCTCCTGGACTCGTGTTTCTGTGTCTGGATCCAGAGTTGTGTTTTGGTGGTGGTCTGTTTCTCTGGGGGTTTTCTTTCCTTTGTCCATCTAAATGCATGCTCAGTATGAGGGATTGCTGCAAAGTTAACACATCAGTGCAATCAACTATTGCAAATTCTAGTGCAGGAGCAGAGATACCTGCACACTGAGTGACTCGATGCAATTAGCAGGACTCAGAGGGGGTCCAACTACAAAATCCAAACACTTGGGTTTTTGATTAAATCACACATCCTATGTAGTATTTGTAAAGGCAATTGGTAACATTGGATTATATTGGACCAAATGGGGTTGAATTTGCATGCCTGCTATGCTTGTAAGCATATTTTCAAACATCTTTGTGGTGTTCTCCTTCCACTTCCCAATGCTACATCACTTTGTTCTGGTCTCTCACACAAAATCCCCCCAAAATCCATTCCAAAATGTGGAAAAGTTTACATATCAATGGTCTGCACTCCAGTATAATTCAAAACGAATACATTTCCAAAACTTATGTAAGAAAAATACAACATTTTTGGCCAAACATCATGTAGTTTTATGTATTTCAGACATTCAGGTCTCTGTTCCTTTTGGGAACCTTCAGTACACTAAAAATGGCACCTGCACAGTGTTTGTGTGCGTGTGTGCGTGCGTGCGTGCGTGCGTGCGTGCGTGGGTGCATGTGTGCGTGCATGTGACTACAGCAATTTACTGTATTATAAAGTTGCCCCTTCACAGCCAGTTTCCTGCTGGACCAGGAAATGGACATAAACCAGTGAGGCAGGCACCCCTTACCCTCTGTAACTTTAGAAGAGCTCCCCATGTGTTGGCTCCTCTGAAGTAGAGAGAGGTGGTATTTCACTGGCTGCAGGCCAACAGGTTACTCAGTCAAAGCTGCATTTCTCTTTTCACCAAACTCTTTACCTTTCTTTTTTACATTTTGCCGTCTCATTCTGCCTTGCTGTTAGTAGTGCTATTGGACTGGATCACATACAACTTCCATGAGCTTGCAGTATTTCCAGCTCCCACCTGCTTGTAGACACTGATTCATTCTCAGCGGCTAGGCGTTGAAGCAGAGTTTGCTGTAGCAACACTGCGGCGTGTGTGTACTTGTCATCTATCATCAGGTTTGTGGCTTGTTGTCTTTGACAACTGATTAATCTGCGATCACAACACCACAATCTGAGGTGATGACAGATGTATTACAGTTTGATTTAGCAATTCATTTGGACTCTCGGAGCAAAAGCAAGAGGCAAAACGAAAGGAGAGATTTTATTCTGTACCAAAAAGTGAAGATGACGCAGCGAATACCGAATACGAATACGAGTACCAGCTGCAATGCAACTGTAACCAACCTGACTGCCCCACCTTCGGCGCTGCTTTTATGTTCGCGTAGCTGCAGAGTTGGCTTTAAGAACAAGCTGGGACAAAGCCTGCACATGTGTTTCCCACAGCACCCACACTGATATGTGTACTATGTGTCGCGCAGCAGCCACGCCAAGCTGCCTCCAGGACTCCAACCCACAATCAAAAGTGAAAAACACTTTTAGACGATCAACAGAAGTGCCCTCCACCCATGTAGCCATAAACTCCCTGACCTTGGTCACAATCCCTGAAATGTAGAGATTACAGAGCTCAGAAACCTCGACCATAAACATGGGATAATGAATTATGTCGAAAGAAAATGTTGAGTCAAATTAAAAATGAGAAACATATGAGTTTTTCATGTTTGCTGAAATGCGCCACCCTCTCTCTCCTGATGTAGCGGGTTATACTTGGACTCAGGCCTAGTGCCAGTATGTCAAGGAGCTGCACATGGTTTCTCTCATGCCCCTGCTTGAAGTTGGTTGTGCACCACTCCAGGGTTTAATGTCTGTATATGCGTCAGCCAAAGCTTACCATTGGCAAATGTAGAGCCACTTAGAGTACAGAGATTACAGGAAAACCTTTGATTTTCATCAAAGTAAAGACCTGAACTTGTTGCTTTCTTCCAGATTTATCACCTGTGGTAGAAAACATCTACTTTAGTAACTTTGGGTCTGATTTAAATAGGGATGTGCGATATTGATTAGGTATTAAATCATAATATTGTCATTGGGACATCAAATCCTAAAAAGTTGCCAAAAGCAAAATAAACAAAACTTTTTAGATGTTGCCATATATTCTCAATAAATGAGCTATAAT